GAGTTTTGCGTCCATTGGTTATGCTTATATGCATGCATACAAGTCCTTCAGTTGATCTCTTATCTCCCCCATATCTCCCTACCCTCCCTGCTATAATTTAACAGTCTGTCTGCTGCCTTACTGTCTCTGTTTCTATCTTTTTATTCATCAGTTTATAATGTTCTTTATTATCCACAAATGAGTGAGATCATGTTGTGTTTTTCTTTCACTCAACATAATGTTCTCCAATTCCACCCAGGTTGCTGCAAATAATAAGAATTCCTTTAGAAATAACTATTTCTACTACAGAAATAGTTATTTTACCTTGGATCTATTCCTTCCTCTGGATCTATAAGCTAATCGTCTTGACACTGCTATCCAATCCCCAGGTAGTGCAGATAGTGCTAACCAGGTTGGAGTCAAGCCACACACCATCGACCTGGTAGGACCCACTAGGAACATCCTTTACCCTTTAGCACAGGCAACATCCCATCTTAAGGAGCCTGTCCTAGGCCTGCCTCTCTGCCTGAGGCAATGCAATCTCTATAATGTATTTGCATGCTGCTAAGTAAGACTAAAAAGAGTAGCCAAAGATGGGGCAAAACCACAGCCATCTTTCCATGGTTACAAACCCACGGGAATCGGTTCACTTAAGCTCTCTGCACAGCTAACATTCAAGAAAGTGAAAGACAAAGTTACAGCCTTCCTTCTGCAGATTCATTGGTCTCCTAAAGAACTGCGACCAGCTCTGACTGTCCATGTGTTTTAGCAAATATGTTAAATGCTGAAAACAATCCCTGCTTTCAGCTAGACTGCTTTGGTGTGTCTCAGTTTTTCCTAACCAATGATCTAATTTTAGTTCGATGAACATTATCCAGGTCTGTTTCCTCCACACTCCTTCCCGCCCTCTACCCCCACCGAGATTGACTGCCAATGAGGCTCTCCAAGTGGAAAGTTCCAAAGTAAGCCCAGCTTAGTGGTCAAGGGCATGGGCTCTGGGGGAAAACTACCTAGGTTCAAATTGAGGGGTCCCTGTTTACTAGCTTGAGCAAAACTGCTTTGAGAGCACTATTTTAGGTACTGAGGATAAAACAATGAGTAAGAGACCATCCCGTCCTCAGCAATCATAAACTCTGGTGTAGAAGACAGCAAACTGTTGATCACAAGTCAGTATGATAAAGGAAATGAACCATCTATTTCCCGTTAACAAAGGGGACAGTTCGTAGCTGTGAGAAGGTACACTTCAAGAAGGCCAATTCGGTAAATGTTTATTGTGGGGACATTTTATGAAATAGGAGTGATTGGTAATGTCACCTTCATTCTCACTGAAGAGTTTTAGATTTGATTGATAATAGAAAAATCAATATTAGTAAACATTTATTAAGTGTTTACTATGTGCCAAACATGGTTCTAAGAAGTATTTACTTATTACTTTTTTAATCCTCATCTGAGGGTATCTCTCCATTGATTTTAGAGAGTGGAAGAGAGAGGGAAAGACAGAGAGAAATAGTGATGGGAGAGAAACACATCAATTAGCTACCTCCTGCATGAATCCTCAACCAGGGCCTGAGGTACATACCCTTGACCCTTGACCAGGGAACCTGAAACCAAGTTGCATGCCCTTGATCGGAATCAAACCTGGGACCCTTCAGTCTGCAGACTGATGCTCTATCCACTCAGCAAACCGGCTAGGGCAGAAGAAGTACTTTTAGATGTCTTACCCCATTTAATGCTCACAAGAAACTGAGGTGAATACTACGCCTTTTCCATGCTTTGTGACAAAATATAATAATAATTATAAAGACAAATTAAGAAACCTCTGTTACGAGCTAATAAGAACTGTAACAAGGAGTGAAACTCTAATAGCGTAGGTTAGAGTCAGTGTTTTAAACCAGTATCTTGTCTGACTAGAAGGCCCTCTTCAGACAGGCTTGCCCATCAACAAAATAGCTGATGTTACACCCCCAGCTACCCACTGCCCTCATTATGCCAGAACCCGATTTGCTTTCTACCGAAAACAGCAGTTATCCTCAGCGAGGCTCAAAGGCCCAGTTATTCGTCACTACATGAGGCAGAAGATGCAGCAGTCCTACCAAATGAAGATCCTTGGGGTTGTTACTATGAAAAAAAAAAAAAAAAAAGAGGCAATAAGGGGGTGGGGGTGGGCAGAAGAGAAGGAAGGGGAGGACGAGTAGAGCCATTCCTTGTAAGTCTTTAAGCTACTCAAGGACAGCTCAGAATAGGAGCCGGGGGGAAATTAGCTGAAGAAAACATACAGTTTTGCAGTAATAAAGCCCTTAGGTGAGAGAGTGACACAACTAGACACAAAATCAAGTTGACCTCAATTTGACTAAATTTTATTTCTTCCGAAGACCCCCGGCCGCTCATGAACCTGGTTAACTGTTAGACCAGCAGGAGGAGGAGGTGGGAGGGCGATGGGTCGCTTTTGGTCACTCTGAATTTAAAGTGCCCGTGAGACATTCCAGCAGACGTGCTCACCGTCAGCCGGAAGTGCACGTCTGGAGCTCCCGGAAGAGGTCTGGCCTGACCCCAGATGTCCGGCTCCAGCCAAGATCTACACCCCTCCCACTGCTTTTGGCATATTCCTTCAGGAGAAACAGTAAGCCTTTCTTCCGTTTGGATCACTCATTTCAGAGGTTTTAAAATAAACTCAGCCCAGCCGGCGTGGCTCAGGGTTGAGTGTCGACCTAGGAACCAAAAAGTTATGTTTTGATTCACAGTCAGGGTACATGCCCGGGTTGCAGGCTCCATCCCCAGGGTGGGGCATGCAGGAGGCAGCCGATCCATGATTCTTATCATTTATGTGTGTGTGTGTGTGTGTGTGTGTGTGTGTGTGTCTCCCTCTTTCTTCCTCTCTGAAACAAATAGAAAATGTTATTTAAAGTAAACAAACAACTCAAAGATCGTGGCTGATTTCACTAGAATGCACATGAGTGTTAGCATGCCCCTCCCAAAGGTGAGAATTGCAGTTGGCAGCCTACCCACAGCTCCTCTGTGGCTGTGGGCACTCCCTGCTCGCCCCTGCCCTTTACCAGGTTAGTAATAAAAACATGACGTAGCCTGCTTGGCCTTCGGGTGCCAGAAAGGAAAGGCATCCGAATTTGCCCAAAACTTCGCTACTGTCTGCTACGATGTGTATCTCATGGACAACCAAAAGGTGGCAAAGGCCATTTGTTACAGTTAATTTTTCAGAACACCATTCAGACCTTATATTTCAACATCACCTAATATTCAACTTTTTAAAACTGAATATTAAAAAAAAAAGGTATTCATAATCATAACATACTAAAGAGAGAATCGAAAGAAGGTCTGGTTCTTGCATTTACGATCCGAACAAGATAGGAAAAAATAAAACCGGAAATATGACAGCTTTTAACTTTGGTTGTACCAGGGATTTAGCATGGTTATGATGACACAGTCATAAAAATCTATGTGGACTCTTAGAAACCAAAAGCAACAGAGGCGGACTGCTAGTCAGAGGGCGCACCTGCTTGTACTTGGGCTCAAGGCAGAACTCTCCTTCTCCAGGCACGGGGCCCCAGGAACCTGTTTGTCCCCAATGTCTAATCAGGTACCACTCGCTGTGCTTTACAAAGTCCCCTTCTTCTCACTCCGAGGGTCCCCACCCTGGGCTGGATGTCACAGAGGGCTGCTGGAAGTAGGAGAAATCACAAGTCATAAATGTGAGTGGAAAAAAGTATTTAAAAGGATGGATTTGAGCTGGGTATAAAAATAAGGCAGCACCTCACAGACAGGAATGCTGCCTCTCCTTGACAGACACTAAATTATATCCTTGCCTCAAGTTGCACTTATAAACTAAGTTTTAACTTATAATGTGAAATGTAACAATGGAATACCAAGCAATGGCAGAGGACTGAAGTATCACTAAAACAGCAAGTAAGTAGATAAATTAGTCTCCCCAGTTTACTGAGCAGAAGCTCAAGCTAAATTAAGAGTTAAGCAGGGTTACTGAAGAATCATCAGTAAAAAATAAATAAATAAATAAAATGGATATCCTATACAAAAGAGGTTATCTTGAGAGAAAATGCTGAGGGAAAGAGAGAGATGGTTTGTCATGTCTCACAGAAGAGGAAGTTCATATGTGAGTACCTGATCATATTTACATACAATATACAGTATATGAATGCATGTATGTGTAGAAAGTCTGGGGGTAAAATAAATTCAAGGAGCTATACTATGAGGTCTTAACAAACCTCCCCAACCTTTTCCTCCCTCTGTCCGCCATGGGGCCCTTTGCTCCTCTCACAAGGGTTGCCTTGATGTCTCTGCATCGCCCATCTCTTCCCTTTCTCATACCATAATCCTGCCAGGTGTCCCCTCCTGAGACCTTTCTGCATCTTCATGTCCTTCACGGTCCAGCTCAAGTTCCATGCCTCTCCCCAGTTCTTCCTGACAAGCCCAGCCCAGGGAGTTTTCTCCTTTCTCCAGGCTCTTTCAGTCGCTGTCACTCACTCATCCCCAAAGCCCCAACAACAGAGAGGAAAACAGAAGTTCCCTCGGAAACATTCCAGTGGGCCATTACTTCCTCTCACTACTGGGCGCCTTCCTGAGTCTTTGTGTCTGATCCCCTGAGCTGAAGGCGAAGCTCATGGCAGGGATTGTGTCTTCACACACCTGTATCTCTTTCATAGCACAAGGCTGCGCCCAATGTGTGATCTGATCAACATCTCCTGATGTGAAGGAACAGTATCTCATCCAATGTTCACGGGAAAAAGGCCACATTCACTATGAGAGCTCAGATTCTCACATGCCAGACTAGAAAGGAAGAATTCGCCAAGGTTGTCCTTTCGCTCAGTCCCTCCCATGAAGATAAGACTGTCGACTTGAAGTAGGATAAAGTGTGAACGTAAATGGAAGGAGGAAGCTTAAGTAAGCATAGCGGACATGGATACTGGAGAATAAGATTCTCCTGGGGCAAATGTAAAAGGCACAAAGGGAAACCAGCAGTTGTTCAACAGCGATCAAGTATAAAAACATACCCATATTTCCTTGAGCATCTTCTATCTTATTTGGTGAAGGCGACAGGAACAACGGCCTGGTGAAGTGAGGGCCCTGAAGAGAGGGCTGCTGCGGCTGCTGCTGCAGAGGCGTGGTCTTGAGAATCACCTTCCAGTCCACCTGGGTAACATCTGACCTGGACCGAGCATGCCCTGGCTTAAAAGTGGTGGTCTCATCCAACAGGTCATTCACAGAGCGAGGTCTGTCCCTGCGACGCTGACACACGTTGAAAAAATTGAAGGTGGATGCTTCCTTTTGCTCCATCCAGGAAAGGTTATCTGGGGCCGTCCCTTTCTGGACCATGAACTGTTCTTTGGCGGGGAAGACATTTTGGACTTTGGTTTCTAAGAACCTGGTCTGACAGGGGTCCCAAAGCATGCCCCCCTCGCCTAGGGCGGCGATGTTTCGGAGAGCACCGTTGTCTGTGATGTTACTGAGTGCCTCGTGCCCCACCAGCTCCGGGACCTCCTGGATCCCGTACACCTCTGCTTGCTGGCCAGCCTTTTCCAGCTTGCTGTCAAAAGTGCTGAAGAAATCCTCAGTCACCTCGAGGGCGGGGCTGATGTCATCCACCTCCAGCGCTTCCATGTTGCAGGCTCTAGGAGGCCGTCGCCTCCCCAGCTGGCTCAGGAACCGGCTTCATGAGCACCCACCCAACAGAGGGAGGCTCTGGGCAACAGTGTCCTGGGCACAGCTGGCAGGAACCCCATCCGCTGCCTGGCACAGGCCACGCATAAGGGCAGGTGGTGTCTTTCCAGCCACTAGAAGCTGAGGATGGCCATTAACAAAGGTGTCGGAGACAAATGTTCCCTCGGGGTTATTCTTCAGTGAGATCTCTGTAAAGACAACAGGAAGTGCGTGTCAGAGTCAAAGCAATGCATGGCAACCCTTACTCACCTGGAAGGAAATAATGAAAAGGACAACGCTGACACACGGTCCATTGTAGTCTGTGGTATACAAATCTGCCCCATTATTTCGCCATCTTTCCCGCCCAAAGGTGCACAACAGCTACACAGAAGTTCCACTGTCAAGTTCCACATCACTCCCCGCTTTGTGGGAGAACTTACACAGCGCAGAGTGGAACTCCTGATAAGGGGAATTAAGGTCAATAGCTTTTACTCACACAGAGAAGCCTTTGAGAGCGATTGTGAAAAGACTGCCCTGGCAAATCTCTGTGATATGTTGACCTAAAATAGTAAGCAAAAAAGACTAGGAATTCTCTGACTGGGCCTCTATGGTAATCAGTCTGCAAGTCATAAATGCATGAGTCCTTTCACAAACCTTGAAAGCACCGATAATTTGTGAGGTTTAAAGGCACGAGAGGGAAGTAGAGAGGGAGACTCTGTCCTTTCATTAAACCTGAGCATGCCTGCCTGTGCTTCCTTGGTTCAGATGTTGTAACATCTAATGATCCTGTGGACTTCAGAATTCCTCCAGGCCTCCTGCACAGAGGCTGTGAGGATTGACCTAGGACAGCGGTCGGCAAACTCATTGGTCAACGGAGCCAAATATCAACAATACAACGACTGAAATTTCTTTGGAGAGCCATATTTTTAAAACTTAAACCTCTTAAATATCAGTATCTTCCAACGCCACTTCTTCAAAATACTCATCCAGGCCGTGGTATTTTGTGGAAGAGCCACACTCTAGGGGCCAAAGAGCCACATGTGGCTCGCGAGCCGCAGTTTGCTGACCAAGGGCCTAGGAGGACAGGGCCAACCTCTGGGCTGAGCAGAATGAATCCAAGCACTACCCCATTTTTCCTGGGAAATCGTAGCCCTCAGGACCAGGGCAAACTAGAGCAGACCTTGACAGTGAGGCTGTCTTCTACAGTAGATACTAGCCACACATGGCTCCTTAAACTTATTAAAACCAAAAAAAGTGCCTCAATCAAACTAGCCACATTTCATGTACTCAAAAGCCACATATACCTTTGTATTTTTGCCAAAAAAAAAACAAGCAAGAACTTCCCCCTCCCCCCCTAACCTACTTACAAAAAGGTAAAATTAAGCAATTACAACTCCTTTGCAAGAAACCATCTTGGATGAGAGCCCAGTGAGTTTTCCAAGAATCCCAGTATTTCCAAGGAAAGTCAGTATCTACCTCTGACACATAAGAGATCCCAAGTGAGGTTTCTCCAGCCGAGCCCAGTTAACCCAGAATCAGGAGGGATGACAAATTGTGACACAAAGTTTGGGAGCGGTATGTCACACAGCAACCAATACTCGGGACTCATCAGTTGCGCAGGGAGGCATTCTCCGGGGTCCCAGGCTAGGTTTCCACGGCACCTGTGCTTCCCTAAGTTACACATGTCACAGTTTCAATGTCACACCCCCTCGGGCAGCAACTGTCTATTGTGTTCATCCGTGGACCCCCAGAACACAACTGCAGCTCCATAAATACTTGTTGAACAAATGAATGCATTTCTGAGTGGCTATTTTTAGAATCATCTATTTGACATTGCTTTCTTTTTCTCCCTTTTGCTTTGATGTCAGCACCTCTGATTTACAGCCCTCTCGCCACATCACGATTATCTCTAGCAATAAGTAAAGACAGCTACTGCTTTAATAACAGCTCCCCCCCCCCAAATCAGTACTTAGTATAATAAATGAATTAACAGACCAGTGTGACAAAGCCAAGTCTTTGCCTGTATTTGCACAGTACAAATTAAATAGATAAAAAGAATGACTGAGAGTAGCAGTGATTCATTCACTCCATAAGTGTTTTCTGAAGCAGTGACTGTGTTCTAGGCATTGATGATACAACAGTGAACAAGAGATGCGATTCCTCCTCCTGCGGCCTAGACGATGTAGGCCAGCCTCCTAAGAAGAGGCAGAGGTCAGCAGTGACAGCCCTTGGGGTTAGGGAGGAAGGGGACTTCAATAAGTTACCTCACTTTCCTATTCTCAGCTTTCTCATTTGCAAAGTCAACAAATTAGTAATAACTTTCTTTCTCCAGGACAGCTGAGAGAATTAATTAAGGCAATACGTGCATGGTTCTTGGCACAGGATACGTTACAAAAACAAGCCAAAAAGCCTCTCCCTGCCCGATCAGCACCATCATCTGTCCTCTGTGACCTCATACCCTCTCTGCCCTCCCCCTTCCCTCCCATCCAGACACACTGGCCTCCTGCTGGTTCTCAAACCTGCTGACACATCTCGCCTCAGGGACTTTGCCTTGGCTGTTCCCCAGATGTCAACGTGGCAAACTCTCTCCTTAACTGTTCATGTCACCTTTTCATGAGGCTTACCCTGACCACCCTATTTAAAATTATAACACATATCTCTGCCCTGGAGTTCTCATCCCCCTTATTCTGCTTTTTTTTTTTTTTTAATAAACTTTTTAGAAAAGTGTTAGGTTTATGGCATTATTGCAAACATAGTACAGCACATTCACACACACCCCACATCCAGTTTCCTCCGTGTAATACATTAGTCTGGTACACTCTATCACAATTAACGTACCAATGTTGATACATTGATGTTAGCTAACGTTCCTACTTTGTTGTGATTCCCTCCATTTTCCCCTACCATCTTTTACTGTTCTAGGATCCCATCCAGGATACCACATGACTTTCAGTTCTCGTGTCTTTCGCCTCCTCTTGGCTCTGACAAGAGACTTCCTTGTTTCTGATGACCTTACCGTTTTGATGAATACTGGTCAGGGTGGTTGTTTGATGTTTTTCTCCTGACTGGACTAGGGCTGCATGTTTTGGGAGGTAAAACCATTCCCATCATATCCAGGTTGACACTGTCAACATGACTTACTAATGCTGTTCATGTTAATCACCTGGCTGGGCCCTTTTCCCCTATTCATTTACTGACCTAACACATCCCTTAGTTTACTATTTAGTGTTCAGGGTTTCTCTCTTCCAAGTAAAATGTAAGCTCCTCGAGGACAGGCATTTATGTTCATTTTGTTCACTAAAGTATCCCAAGTGCATACGATAGTACCTGACACACAAAAAGGCACTAAGCTGACCCGGTGGGATGCATGCATTGTTATTCCTCTGAGTGAAGTTCATGGCCGTTCATGGCCATTCATGGCCCTTCATGACCCCTCCACCTCTCCAATTGGCAGTTCACATAGTGGTTTTCCTCCTCCAAGCCTTGGTCCAAGTTGGGAGTCTTCCGAAGTGCTCAGGCTCAGAGCACCTTGTGTTTGCCACACTGTACTCAATCGACAGTCTCTCTTGATCCCACTCTGCACTCTAAGCTACTAGAGAGCAGGCACAATGCCTTCCTTACCCTCGGATAGAACCTCTACGTGTTCATGCCTTTGGGCTCTATTTACCACCCTTACCTGTTCTGGAATGTCATCTTTCTCATATTTGTCAGTATTTTATTATGTTGTGTTAGGATGAGCGGCCCTTAAGTTTCCTACAAGGGTCTAATGCCAAATTTAAAATCTATGAGTAAACACCTCCTACTAGCTTGCCTCATTTCGTTTTGAAATTAATTAATTAAAAAATAACAACACATTTGGACAAGGCAAAACATGAAGAGTACCTCCCTCTGACACAGTGAATTGGGTAACACCAGTGTGTGGGTGCAGTGTGGTTTGCCTCAGCACAAAACTGGAAATCAGGAGCTAATTAGGACTGTGGCCCAAATCTGGCCCCACCAACCACACACACTGGGTGGCCTCGGCAAACCATAAACCCCTGGGTGCCTCACTCAGCTACCTGTATTCAATACAGAACTAATAGCGAATTGCTTCACCTGTGGACCATTCACGAGGTAGCTGCCCAAACATGCCTTTAAAAACTGTAAACTGATGTGTAATTATGACAACCGCCACTCCACCTCATCCATTCAACAGCCAGGTGCTCCGTCTCTCCCTCCCCGGCAAGGTTCGTCAGCCCAATTAATGCAGTAGCAACCAACTACTGATGATACACTGGTTTCAGCCCAACTCCAAGATCTATAGGTATTTTACCTTATTTTTGTATAGAATACTCTTTCTGTAAAAAGGGTTATTTCCTCTATTTAATAGACTGAGAAGCTGAGGTCTATTGATTAGGGTCGTAATCAAAGCTCAAACCCCAGAACCCATGCATGCATCAGAAGGCAACAGGATGGAGAAATCAGTGAAATGCTATTTTCTGACCAGGAAATCTGCTGTCTACATGCTCATTGGTCAAGGCTAATCAACAGGATGAGTCCAGCAGTCCTTCTGCACAGAGGCAGAAGCAGAGATGAGCAGTGAGACCAGCCCAGCCCACACAGAGATGCCATGTTCTCCCAAGTTGTTTGGTAGAAGTGCTGGCTATCCCCCCATTCCTCGGCTTGTGATCAGAATTTAATGGGTGCTGAGAGGGTGTCTGGGGCCATGGAATTTCAAAGCAGCTGGACTAAGGAGACAACGCAATGCCAGGGACACCTAAGATAAACTGTGTCTGCCAGTCTTTTCCAAATCAAGGGTGATTGCAAGGATGGTCAGCACATGTGGCTCTCACATGTTCCTCACTCTGGTTAAGGCTGTGGCTGGCTGAGAATTTTCCAAGATTACATAATATGAAGGACCCACCATCAGTAAGATGACACTTCTGGACCATGGGGCTACAAGAGGTTATGATTTTTCATGGTCGTTTTTGTCATAAGGACAAAGTTAGCACGTTGGTAAAATACGGATAAGCCACAAGCAGCCGATAAGGAAATGGTACCAATGGAGACTTCCTAAAAAGCATTTAGGAGTCTTTCAGAGACGGACAGCTAGAAACACAGGTGGGATGCCATTTTCATAGGCCTAGAGAGAACATTAAATGCCTATATTGTGCCCAGCCCATGTGGTTGAGCATCAACCTATGAACCAGTCAGGGCACATGCCCAGGTTGTGGGCTTGATCCTCAGTGTAGGAAGTGCAGAAGGCAGCTGACCAATGATTCGTTCTCATTTCTATCTCTCTCTCCCTCTCCCTTCTTCTCTGAAATCAATAAAAATATGTTTTTAAAATGTGGCCACATTGTATACAAGTTTGAATAAATGAGATGTTTATTGACATACAATGCATCAGGAGTATAACATAAAAAATGAATTTGTACAGTGTTTTTTCCAGTTCTAAAAGTAATAAATTCTCAAAGAAACTCTGGCAAATAGGGAAAGAAAAGAAAAATCAGTCACAATCCAATAACTCAGAGAAAAAAATCAATAGGTGTGTTTCTGTCCAATATTTCATTGGAATCAGATTATAGACACAGTTTGGGCACGCTGTTAAATGTATGCTCAAAAAGCAAATACTGGCAAATACTAACTCTGACAAAAGAAACAAATGTCCCAGAGTGTGCTATACCACTTACACCTTACAACCTGACGCCCCCTGACTGAAAGTCTCTTCCCCGGCTACCCCGACCTCCTCCTTACACACCCACGGCTCTTCAAGTCCTGATCCTCCTTGACGCTATTAACCTGCCTCTGCAAACATTTCCCCTGCGTTTCAGAGACACCACACTCTCAGTTTCCCTCTCATTCTCAGCCTCCATCTCCCTCCTGTCCTTACCGGTCACCTCATCAAGTGGGGACACTGCCTAAGCTCTCTTCTCCCACTACAGCTACCTGTGGTTTTTCGAGTCAATCTATCCATACTGGTGACTTCAACAATACTTCTACGTTCAAGCCTCCCAAATGTCCACCTTCAGTCTCCATCTCAGCCTGACCTCTGGTCCCACGGTCCCAACTACTTGTGGGCAGATCTACCCTGGCATATCTCATGGCAAAGTTAAGCTCAATTTGTCTAAAATCATATGCAGGTATTCATTCAATTAATATTTGCAGAGTGCTCTCGAAGGGCTAGACAAAGTACTAGACACTGGGAGACGGGAGCAGATAAAATCTTTTAATGAAGCTTCCACTAACCACAATGTCCAACTCTTTAACCTGCCGCTCTAGGCCTTTCACAATCCTGGCCTCGCTTGCCTGTACAACTTCCCACTTCTCTTCCATAAAATAAACTCTTTTCCTCCAAACTTGAATGCTATTTCCCAAATGTCCTGCTTTCTCAGCTCCAAGACTTTGCTTACAGTCATCTCTGAGGTCCCCTCTATCCACCTCTACCTACTGAAACTTTATCCACTCTTCAAGCTCCAATGCTATCCACTCTGCCACAAGCATTCGTTGTTCCCTGATCCTAAAACAGTCTGCTCTCTCTTTAAACATCCACATGTCTTTGGTACTGCCCCCAACACATATACCACACACTGCTTGTTCTTTCTGAAATGATGATGATAGCATTTACTATATAATTTATCGAAAGCCTATTTTGTGCCAGTTACATCACTTGATACTTTATATCTCTAACTCTCATAATGATCAATGTGAGTACTGTTATCTCCATTTTACAGATGAGAAACTAAGGCCCAAAGATATATAAACTGCCTAAAGTCACACACCTACGCTACTGTACTTACATCAACTTGAGAACAGCAGTTCTACCCTATTTCATTTTTATAATCCTCCTTTGGGCCTAGAAGTATGGCCAGGACACAATGGGTGCTTGATAAGGATTTGTTGAATGAACAACTGCATAAAGTGTGTGTTTGCACAGCACTGACATCTGTAAATATAAAGACCACTCTGGGTTTTCTGACAAAAGCATATGTGAATTCATTATAGGCTCACTGATGTAAAATCTGACATGCTTTCCAAAATATGTTGGCTTGAGCTTTTAAATGTTTTCTTGGTAGAGAAAGCTTGTAAGCTATTGAAACCAGGTTTAAAAATAACATGGCAGAGGTCAGGTAGCAAAAGACCTCACTCAGACCTTTTGCAGAAACAAAAGCACCTGGGCTGCACTTGGGGATTGTTTTGAAACCACTCCACATCAGTGGCTTAGCTGGACTCCTTTCCCAGTGACTTCGAGCGTTAGCTCTTTCTAACACCAGTCAGGAGATGCTCCTTTGAAATACCCCCGGACAATCCACTTGAAGCATGTTTCAGTACATCTCTGCGCTTGTTTATTGTTTGCCACTTGCAAAATCACTGAGGCATTTGATGCCCCAAGATGTTTTCCCAGAAACCAAACTAAATATAAGCCTGGCACTTCAAATCTCAGATTGCTTTGTTATTGAAGGCGGTGATGTTATTATGCCCCTAGGTCAACCGCGGGTGGAAGCGCCAAGGCTTCTTCTGATTGGGAAACCCACTTTGTAAAACCAACAAGTTCCAATGTCCTGCTTTTGGAAACAAGACAGGCTTCGGTTATGTAAGTGCCCAAAAATGCAGACTCCGTGTTTTCCACTTCCCTTTACCTCCATGGCAGGGAAGAGGGATTCAAAAACAAACCGAGATGCCATTCAAATTATCTTTTTCCCAGGACTGAGATGAAGACGGTGAAAATTTCCATCATAACAACCGCACATTGCTGGAACCAGCCTCCAACTGCAACAGGGAATAACTGACCAGCGTCCGTGTAGGTGCCCCTGAGCAAAGCCAGCTGGCCTGGCTGAACATGTGACAGACAACAAAGGTAATGACACCCCCAAGGAGGTACACTGAGACCCAGATATGCAAAACACCCAAAGAGCTAGGAAAGTAGCTTTAGATTTAGATTTAGAGTATGTCATCAGCTCATATAACTACTTAGAATCTTCTACTGAACCTGAGAAATGGTGGCTACACTTCCAAGCGCAATATAGAACTGAATTTAATCCAATTTTCTCACAAACTCTTCAAATTCAGGTAACCTGAGCAAAAATCACTTGGCTTTACTGAGAATAACCACCTTCACATGCAAGGCTTAGAGTACAGTTTATGCAATGCTTGATATGCTTCTTTTAAAAAATATTTATATTGATTTCAGAGAGAGGTAGGCAGAGGGAGAGATAGAAACATTCAGATTCAGAGAGAATCATTGATCAGCTGCCTCTTGCATGCGCCCTACTGGGGACAAGCCTGCAACAGAGGCAAGTGCCCTGACCTGGAATTGAACAATGACCTCTTGGTTCGTAGGTTGATGCTCAACCACTGAGCCACGTCAGCTGGGCGCTGATATGCTTCTTAATACATGTAGGCATCTCACCAGACAGAGGTGAATAAAGTAGCGGACTATTTTAAAGATGATGAAGGAGATCAAGATGACTCATCTGTTGTCAAGTGAAGTCCCTGTGGGGAGAAAAGAGTTCCTGGAACCCCTGTCTAATTACCAATCCTGTGGCCACCCAAGTTCAATTACCTTTTGAATCACTTTTGTTAGAAGGACCACAAACAAGAAGTAAGGCTGAATCCAGGCCATGCGTGAGCTTTCCAGTGTTGAGTTTATTCAGTGGGCAGAGGTGTAGCAGTGGCAAGAACACAAATTCCTGACACCAGAAAAGGGTTCATGTCCTACCATTGCCTTCTAAGCTGAATGACTTCCAGCGAGTCAGGCTGACTCAGTGCTTCTGGGCCCCTATCATCTGCAAAATGAGAATCCTGCCAAGGCCTGCCCACGCCTACCTTAGAGAGCTGGGAAGCACAGTGTGGGTAATGCACGCGAAGCTCTTTGTAAAATCAAAGACAATTCCCATTCCTATTAGAAGCTAGCTGAATGCTCACCACACAACCACTTACACTCAGCAAGCATTTACAGGAGGATGGGCCAGGCCAAGTACCCAAACACTGTGCCAGATGCTGGGAACACAAAACACAGCTCCTGCCCTTGAGTTAGCTAATGGGGAAGCAACACAAAACCAAGTGTAAGAATGTGCGTCAACAGAAGTAAACAAAAGGTGTGATGGGAACATAAGTAAGGAATCGTTACTAATCAAGAGACAATAAAGGGTCTTAAGTGACAGAACACAATGACGTAATAGTATGTCTTCATATAGTTGACTTCAGTAGAAAGAAGCCAGAGACAAAGGAAACAAACATGCAAACAGCACCAATGTACCTGCTCTAGGAATGGGGCTTCCATCCTGAAGCTGTCCCAACAGGACTAGCTCCTGAGGACCCACCCAGGAGCGAGCTCGGAGTGAACTAACAGCCGCACAGCAGGGAGGCCAGCATGCAGAGGGCTTCTTCACCAGCTGTCCAAGTCTGTCTGACCCACAGGCACACCTGCTCAACAGAAGGCCTTTGCTAGGTGTTACAGGAAATGAATAATCGCCTCACTTCCTGTTGACTTCAATTCCTTAGGTCATTGCAGCTGGTTAGCAGGAGGGAGACTACTTACAACTCTAACCTTCAAACAACAACCAGCTTGTAAGTTAGCACACATTTACAAAACTGCTTCCTGTGGGTATTCACAGTGAATGTACACAAACAGTAATTAACTGATTTTTCTTCTTTCTCTGCGACACTGGAACCTGCTAAAAAAGTAAGCCTGGGTCTTTGTTGAATGGCACCTGGAGAGAAACAGCCCATGGTAAGATCAAAAGGTGACTCACTTCTCATTTGAAAGGACAGCTACACTCCGTGGTGATGGGCTGCATCCATGACCCCTCCCTTTTGGAATTAATCTGTGACAATAACGTTGGTTACAAAGGCAAAGCAAGGCTGGCAAAGGCAGACAAAATACTGTCTTTGACCCTCAGAGATAAGGACGAGGTAAGGCACAATAGCAGGATGAGTCCTTGTTATTTTCCTATGTACAACATGAAGGCCAGAAAACCCTCAGCCCATCACACGGGATAAAAGAAAAGTTAAAAGGTTTGAAGGAGAAGGACAGTAGAAACTAGACTTTTGTCTCCAAATCTGAGTCTAAGTTTCTTTTATTATGGACTATTATTGGTATGGAATGAATTTTTACAAAACAACCCTGCAGCATGTAAGCATTCTGGAGTTGCATTCTGGAATTCTGGTTGGCCTTTATTTCCTTGATCTGACATTAGAACAATAGGCATACGATAGTTGGGACTCAAATAATTGCCCAGCATCAGACACTACTACTAAATTAATCTCTAAAAATGTCCTACCAAGGACTCCTTCAATGTGGACAGACACGTGTTAAATGTGGGATGATGTACTTAATAAAAATATTTTAAGCAACAAAGATAGCTCTTACAATTTCTAAGCCAAGAGCAAGATTGAAGAGTCACAGCGAAAACTTCCTGAGTACTTACTAAAGGGCAGTCAGCATGGTAAGCCCTTTCTCTGCATTATACTGGTAAATCCTCACAGCAGCCCTACTAGAGAGCCGCTATTATCATCACCACTTTACAGATAAGGAAATCGAGATTTAAGAAGTAAAGTACATTGCTCAAGGTGATATGGCCAATAAGTGAGCGGAAGCAAGACTAAAATGCACACATAGCCCTGGCCGGTGTGGCTCAATTGGTTGTGTGTCATCCAGTAGACCGAAAGGTTACCGGTTCACTTCCCAGTTAGGGCACATGTCCAGGTTGCAGGCTCCATCCCCAGGTTGCAAGCTCCATCCCAATGGGGGCATGCAAGAAGCAGCTGATGGATGGGTATCTCCCTCTCATTTCCTCTCTCTCTCCCTTACTCTCTCTAAAAATAAATTTTTAAAAGTCTTTAAAATGCACTTACATTCCTATATCACATAATTCATAGTAAATTAATTGCTTTGAGATAATACAGCTAAAATTTTACACACATGATGCTCTGAATTTTAATGTCAAAGCACAAGCAACTTTAATGTTGATTTTTAAATATTACTGTTTGTTAATCCCACAACTCAGAAAGTTAATTGCTAAATGTCATCTTTATACCCAGGGAAATAGTTTATACTTAATTTACAAAAAGAGGAAAAAAAAAAGTCACCTCTGTAATACTTCTGTCGTTGGAATGGTGGATGAGAGGTCCCTGAACAAACAGAATAAAAGGCTGTTCTCTAAATAGCTAACCTCAATTCTCTTAGTGACCTTGGACACAATATTTGGAATACCTACAAGGGTATAATAACTGACTTCATTTAGGCCAAACAAGTGCTTTTGCAAATGTTTGCATAGTCCTAATTGCACAAACCTTTCACTAATGTTTCCCTAAGACATCATTTTTCTTTTAGCCAATAAATACAAACACTTATAACAATGTTTGCTTTTTAAAAACTTGGAAATAAGTGTTTGTGTCAAAAGAATTAAATAGTTTCAGATCATATGTGACTATAGATAATTCAAACACATTTTGTGTATTAAGGCATGTCCAAATAAACTGCCTCCTTCTAAAACCAACTTTTTTTTGGGGGGTGAGGGAGGGGAGAGGATAGGGTTGATGGGGGAGAAATACCAGTGTACAAACAAAATAACAAAGTTGACACACAACTTTCGGTCTTATTTCTTAAATATACTAGAAGACAATAAGCCCAGGGTTTCCTATGACCCCACTACAGGGAGAATATAGGTAAAAGATCTAACCTTTCAATGAAGGGAAATTACTTTTGGATCAAAAGATGTGGAATTAGAACACCTTAGCTTGAACCTTCCATGCACGAGTACCAGATGCAGAATTCTGGGTGAGTCACTTGAACCTGAATTTCAGGTTCTGCCTTCTTCACAGGTTGTTTTGGGGTGTGGATCAATGAGAGGATGCAGTACTCTCTGAACGCCAAAGCAAGGTGAGGGATGGAGATTGGGGTTGTCTGTGTGGTCCCAGGAAAAGGGTCATCATATTTTCTCTCATTTCCTTCCATTATAAACCAACTAACTGGTGAAGAGAGTGGTGAGAGCAATGAGTTCAGGAAGTTCTGGGAAAAGGTTTTAATTTAGTCAAGGGTCCCTCCTGCACTGTTCAAGGCAGCACGAGTTGCTATGCACCGGCTTTTCTAGTGGTCCTGGAGTAAAGGGATTCCAGGGTGCGAGATGGAGGATGACTCAGAGGAGTGTCTCTTCTTAAAGAAGAAAAAGTAAGTAATACCCTCCCTTGTCCCCCAAGTTCCTCCACAGCTAGGACACTTCTCCCTCCTTCCTTTTCCTTCCAAGTTTCTTGAAATTTACTCTTTATATTTTCTGACTCCATCTCTCACCACCCATTCATTCTCCCCCAGAAGCAATCTGGTTCTGCCCGGCTGAAACCACACAGGCAGGGGTTAACAATTTCCTTGTTGCTAAACCCAGGAGACTTTCCACCCCACTCCTGACTGACCTCTCAGCAGCAGCTGGCCTATTGAACACCCACTCTTTGCATTGCTCTCGTGAATTCACTGACACAGTCGGTCTGGTATTTCTCCTTGATCTCTGGGTGCTCCTTTCAGGCCCTTCTAGAAGCTCCTTCCTCTGCCCATATCATACATGGAGGCATTGCTCCATTCTCCCTCCTAATAAGTTCCTCTTCCTCAATGGTCTTCTCTATTCCTGTGGCTTCAGCTACAATGCACATGGTAGATGAGGAACGGACTGTTCTCAGCTCTAGACTCATCTATGCAACTGCATTTGGTTGTCTCCCAGTTCCCAGCAGGCACAAAACCAAACTCTTCATCTCACCCTCAGCCTGCCCCTCCCCCTGGCATTCTCCGTATAGGGAAGGGCATCATCACCCACTCCAGAAAGATGAACGTCACCTTTGACCCTTCCGGCTCCCTCACCCACAACCACTCCAGATCAGCTGGTCATACTGATTCTGCCTCTACAAGATCTGCAGAATCTACCCATTGCTCTCCTTCGTTATGTTGTAGTTCAGACACCACCATCGTCTTCTGCCAGTCAGTCTTGCCCTCCAGGAATCCATTCGCCACACTGCAGCCATTTCTCAAACTAAAACCCTGTTATCTTCCGGATAAACCACACTTCTTAACATTGCCTGTAGGAGCTCATGGCCATTACTCTCCTGGGCTTATTTCTTTAGTCTCCCTCTCCACACACCTTCCTGCAGCACACAGGCACACAGCTTGGATGTCCGTTTTGGTCCTCCCTCTTATGTGCTCCTGGAGCACCCTGATGTCTCAATTATCATACTTCTCACTCTGTGTAAAATGGCCTGGTTACTCGACTGTCTGCCCCACTGGATGACAAGCTGCATGAAGGCAAGAATATGCCTATTTTGTTCAATGTTGTATTCCTAGCTTCTGTGCCATGGCACAAAATAAGGGCTCAATTCTTATGTGTTTAATCAATGAATCCCTAAAGGCAGGAGAGAAAATGTTCTGAAAAAATTAAAGTGCTGATAAAAATGGACCAAGAGCACCAGGGAGATCATTTAGCCAATTTCCTGGAGCATAAAAAGTGCTGGTCACATTTCTGATGTTTTCTAACCTATATCTTCCTGTTCTGTGACTGAAAATCTACATTTATAATCACATCTACAGACCACAAGGTGAAGTGGATATTGAGCAAATTCCCAGTTAGATAAATGGCCAAACGCAAACCAGATAAGGCAGAACAGGCAGCTTTGGTTTGTATTGAATTATAAATTGGTTATGCTAATCAAGATAACTGAACAAATAAATCTCTACCACACTCAGGTGGCATATAACCTGGGAACCCAATTTGAAACACATAACTCAAATCAACAGTTAATGAGTATGTGAAAAACAAACAAAATGTTAATGAGAACAGCAGGCCTGATATCTCAATGCAATCGCCTCTGTATTTTGACTTTGATTTCTGCTCATGACCCATGTTGCCATCAAGATTAATTACACTCACGGACCAAATAAAGTTCTTACCTTCTTGTCAGTATAAAAATAAATTATGTGGACTTTTTATTGTCTGTTTGGTAATATCTACAGTGGCCATGAAACAGAACAAACATAATGCATGGAATTGACTATTGGTGGTCATTTTTATCACCTTCTTACTCACTCCTCAGTCCTCTGAATTATTTAGCACCAGAAGCTCCAAACTAGCATATCATTTGGCAACTTATAAACCAAATACAAAATCTACCCTAATAGGAAAAGAAAAAAGCAATTCTTGCTAGATATCCCTCCAAATGGTTTAAGGCAGTGGTCGGCAAACTCATTAGTCAACAGAGCCAAATATCAACAGTACAACGATTGAAATTTCTTTTGAGAGCCAAATTTTTTAAATGTAAATGTCTTCTAATGCCACTTATTCAAAATAAACTCACCCAGGCCATGGTATTTTGTGGAAGAGCCACACTCAAGGGGCCAAAGAGCTGCATGTGGCTTGCGAGCTGCAGTTTGCTGACCACAGGTTTAAGGGTTTAACGTTTCCCATGCA